TACGGTACAGCAGATTACAAAAAGTCAATAGAAGTTGAACAGGTATTTCTTCTAATTTTTTTCATTTTACACTGATTTTTGCTTCATTTTGTGCTATTTAGTCAATATATGCTAGATTTTCTTGTATTAACCGTTTTTGTGACTAGGAAATGTTTGTCAGAAAACTGAATGTTTTAAATGCTGTCTCTCTTCATCATGATTCAAAGTATTTGCTCTCTCCCTCCCTTTTCAACCTTCATAGCTTCATTTCACAGTTCTCATATTTTATGGCTACAAATTACAAACAACTGTGGAGAACAGATTGAATTTAAATCTTTTAAATAAATAAGTTGTAAGCATAAGCAGATTTTATCATAAGGTAAATTTATTTTCTGAACAGAATAAACCCACAGTCAGTATAATAAATGAAAATGTGTTTGTTTCCATTCTTTAACTATGAGCATTTATATTTTAAAGAGATCTTACTTGGAAGTCAGAAATAGGAAATTGCTCATATGTATTTGCTTAAGTTAGAATTTTTTTCCTTCAACTTCTTGATTTTGCTTCTTTAAATATTACTAAATAACAAGTAATGTCATTTTGTTTTATTTTATTTTATATGAGAAAGCATGCTGTATAATAGAAAATTGACCTTGGCCCAGATGATCAAAAGGGGAAACTTCACTTTGTTACCTACAAACCAGCCAATAAGTTAATGATAAATAATGAGATAACACATTTGTATGTGGAAATTCCATTTGCGTCATTAAAACTATTGCATAGAGAATGGCCAAGTCTCACAATGTTTTTAGAACTCCTGCAACTTTGGTGTATATATATATATATGGTATATAGTAACTGTATTCATTTCAGTTAAGGAATCAGGTCTGAGCTCACAAAGAAATAGACACGCTTCCTCATCTGAAACGAAAATATAATCCCTTGCATGATGTAACAGAATCTAGCAAATCAGTTATTTACTGTATTTGTATATATTTGTGTGTTTCTCTGTGTGTGTGATATATATATCACACACAACATCCTGTGAATGCTACTATTTTGGGTGATTAAATTTCATTCAGGTGACTTTTTAAAACATTTTAAAATGTCCAAGGTTCTACCATTGGGTTGAGCTGGACTACTCTCATCATCAAATTTGATGGACTGTTCTTACCATCAAATGTGATTCTGGAAAAATAAAATACAGAAACTTAGCCCTGCAGCTCTTCAAGATGCAGAAGTTCAACAAATGAGAGAAGTTAATATTCCAGGTGTGGATAAAAGGCCACTTCCATAAAGCTGTAGCTTGGCATCATAATTTCTATGTGGCTCTTAAGAGTATGGAATTGTAGATTGCATTCTCCCAATAAAGTACCTCCTTCTATAGCTATCTGTTTTGTTGTTAAAGCAAGAAAAAGTAAACCAAAACAGGAAATCTTATAGCATCCTGAAATGTTCATTTGCAAGTCCCCCCAGTAGATAAAATTCAGTTGCTTACCACCACCACCATACATCAAATGAGTAACACTATAACTCCCATCATTTTCCAGGCAGTCCAGGAATGCTGAAAGTTGTAGCCTAACACCCCTTAGAGAAAACTACTAAAGGGCTATTCTTTACCATTTCTAGTTCTTCCCCCTAAAACCTTAGTGATGTTTGAACCCATTTTATATCTTTCGATAGGTTGGTTTTCTTTGTTGCTAGATTGGTTTTGTATCTCTTTGTGAATGTTATTATTGCACATATTATCTCTGTTGACTATAACAATTGATTAATGTGATTTATTGATTCTTTGGCCCTGGTTGGCGTAATATATTAGATGGGAAGACTTGGCCTCTAGAATTTCCCAGGGCACCATAAAACATCAGTTTGTACAGCATCCTGCATTTCTAGAAGCATACAGCTGCCATGCTACAAGTGAAAACAGAGATACATGCATGACATATCAAGAGGAACAGGGCTAAAGAAATGACTCTCTCATGTACCTTAAAATTAGACTATAATAAGATATTATTTTGAAACAATGCTTCA